GGTTCGAGGCCCCGCCCCGGCTCAGTCCCGCCCTCCAGGCCCGCCCTCCGCGCCGCCTGCGCCGCCTGCGCCGCCGCCACTGCCGCGGAGGTGCCGGGGTTCAGGGGCTGCGGTGGGCGTAGCTCAGACCCGCCGAGGCTGGGCCGGACCGCCCCCGCCACGCCCGCCCGCCCGCCCGGGATGCGGCGCTAAGGTCCAGCATGGCCGGCCCGGGCCCCACCTTCCCGCTTCACCGGCTCGTCTGGGCGAACCGGCACCGCGAATTGGAGGCCGCGCTGCACAGCCGCCAGGTGAGGCCCGCCGGGCACCCCGGCCGTCCTCCGGGCCCCCCAACCAAAGCCGTGGCGCCATCCTGAAGGCCTCCGGTCCCTGCTCCGTGCCGCAGCCGCTTCCCCGCTCACCCTTCCCGGCCTGATCGAAGCCTAGGTGATCTGCCCCTCTCACTTGAGCCCCTTGGCCTCGGCGCCCAGCGCGCGGCCTCGCCCGGCTTCACACCGCATCCAGTCTGCGATCTCTCGCCGCACCACCCCTGAGCAGGCTGAGAACGGGCAGCCTGGTCCTTGACATCCGCAGCTCCACCTCTGCCTGACCAGGCCCCGCCACTGGGCCCCCAGCTCTGTCACTGGCAGAGCAGCGGAGAGGTGGGCAGGCCCTTCCCACCTGCCCCTTCCCCATCCCTGCAGGGACAACCCGGCTACCCTCTGCCATTTCCATCGCCAATCTGCCTTACTTAGTTCTCATAGCGACTCCCCTCCCTGCCCAACCCGGTGGTCTTCTTATCTCTGCCTCTTCTTACTTGCCCTGTGCTGAGTGTCCCATCTCCCCCAGCATGACATTGAACAGGAGGACCCCCGGGGGCGCACCCCCCTGGAGCTGGCCGTGTCCCTGGGGAACCTGGAGTCTGTGAGAGTCCTCCTTCGACATAATGCCAACGTGGGCAAAGAGAGCTGCCAGGGCTGGGCAGGTACTGCAGAGGGCAGAGGGGCTCCCCTGAGGCTGACTGTGGGGTTGGTGAGGTTGCCAGGCCTGGGGTCATCGAGAGAGCGCCGCTCAGCAGCTTGGTGCCCCCAGTCCTGCAGGAGGCAGTCAGCACCGGGGACCCCGAGATGGTGCAGCTTGTGCTCCAGTACCGGGACTACCAGAGGGCCACGCAGCGGCTGGCCGGCATTCCGGAACTGCTCAACAAGCTCCGCCAGGTACGGCGGGGCCCGGAGGTGTGGCCAGGAGGAGGGGTGAAGTGCTGTGGCAAGGGGCTGTGACAGGCTGCATGGGGGTCACCCTGGTCACCCATGCCACGCTTGGCGTCGGGAGGGAGCCCAGCTTGTGCAGCATGCTTTCCCGACCCTGTCGACAGAGTCCTCTCCTTGGACCCCAACCCAGGGTCAGGTAGGAGAGAGAGGAGTCCAGGCCCACGTGGACAAGGGTGGGCCCTTGGGGAGGAAAGTCCTTCCCAGCATTGAGGGTCTCCTAGTGCCAGAGATCTCACCAGAGCTTGAGGTCAAGGGCTTCCTACTGATGGCAGATTTTCTGGGGGGAGGGTTTCATCTGACTCTACGGATGTGGCCTGGACTGCTGGAATGAATGCCTGTCCGCCCTCTCAAAACACGTGGGTTCAGGGCCAGGGTGGGGGATGGAGCTGGGAGAACAGGTCACCTCCTGCTCCCCAGGCCCAGAGAAGGTCCTTGTGTCCTCTTTACAGGAGACGATTCTGGGACCCCAGCGCAGGCAGGAGCTCCCCCAGGGCCCCCCAGCAGGCCAGTGGCCAGGTTGAGCCTGGCCCCAGGTGCTTATAGCCGAGTGCAGGGGCGTCAAACTCATTGTCACCGGGGGCCACCTCAGCCTCGCGGTTGCCTTCAAAGGGCCGACTGTAATTTCAGGACCGTGTAAATGTAACTACTCCTTAACTGTTAAGCAAGAGCCAAGCAGCAACAAGGTGCCGGGCGGCATAAGACAAGGTGGAGGGCCTGATTCGGCCTGCGGGCCTTGTGCTTGCCACCTGTGGTTTAGTGACTTAAAGACCTCTTTAGGGCCCCACTTGGCCCACCCTCCCCTGGGTGGAGCTTGGTTTCGGTGGGGGCACTGTGGGGCCACGTGGTGCTTCAGGACTTGCTGAAGGGCTGGGCTCCCAGAAGCAGGAGCTGCGGGCAAGGAGCCACCCAGGCCCACGGGCCCCGCACTAGGCAGGGCCCCGGGCCCTGACGGCGCTCTGGTCCACCCCAGGCCCCCGATTTCTACGTGGAGATGAAGTGGGAGTTCACCAGCTGGGGTGAGTGGGGACCGCTCGGCCCCCCAGGGGCCTGGGGTGGGGCCCTTGGGAAAGAACGCCGGTGACCTCTGTGCCCTCTGCAGTGCCCCTCGTGTCCAAGATGTGCCCGAGCGACGTGTACCGCGTGTGGAAGCGGGGCGAGAGCCTGCGGGTGGACACCAGCCTCCTGGGCTTCGAGCACATGACCTGGCAGCGCGGCCGGAGGAGCTTCATCTTCAAGGGCCAGGGTGAGCTCTGGGGGGGTCACTGCAGGTCTGGGAGAGCCTCCTGCCTCTCGTGAAGACAGTGCTGTCCTTTCTGTCCCCTCTGGACAGAGGTTGGGGGTGGAGGGGGCACAGGGGCTGAGGCCGAACCCACTGGACAGCAGCAAGCGGCTGAGGGTACCCTGACGGCCCTCCACCCACCCCCTGGGGCCTGCTGACTCCCCCCCCCCCAACCCTGGCTGGCAGAGGCGGGAGCCCTGGTGATGGAAGTGGACCACGACCGGCAGGTGGTGCACACGGAGGTGCTGGGGCTCACCCTGCACGAGCCAGAAGCGCTGCTGGCCGCCATGCGGCCCAGCGAGGAGCACGTGGCCAGCCGCCTCACCTCTCCTATCGTCTCCACCCACCTGGACACTCGAAACGTGGCCTTCGAGAGGTTAGTTGAGACCTGGCCACACTGTGGGCAGTGCCCTTGAGGTTCCTGGTTTGGGAGGCTAAGCCGCTTGCAGAGGCTGCCCAGATGAGAGACAGGGACAAGTGTCCCCCCGAGACGGGTCACCCGCGCGTCCTGTGGCAACCTTGGAGCTCGCGCATGCCTGTCCGTACTGGAAGCTGGCTTCCTGGGGAGGAGGCTGGGTCAGGGTATCCCCAGTTTCTTGACTCCTGGCCTCACGTTCTCCCATAAAAACAGGATTCAGGCTGTGGTTCAGGGCGGCTGTTTGCGCCCGGGTCCGCTCCTCGGCAGCACAGCTGTGCCTGGGCCAGAGCCCCGAGTGCGCAGCCTCGGAACCCGACTCCCCGCGCCAGAGTGCCCCAGTCCCAACCACAGGCTGCAGAAACGCTTAAAAGGGAAGCCAGTTTTATTGAGATAAAATATTCATATCCCATCCCGTTCACCTGTTTCAAGTGTACAACTGAGTGGTTTTTAGGACATTCACAGACACGTGAATTTTAGGAGATTTACATTTCAGGACATCTCCTCATCTCGGAAAGAAACCCTGTACCCTTTACCTATCAGCCCCCTCCCCTGATCCCTCACCCCCATCCCTCAGCAGCTACCGACCTGCTTGGTGTCTCTCTGGGTTTGCCTGTTCTGGGCCTTTCCTGTGAATGGAACCATGTAACACGTGGTCTTTTGTAACTCACTCCTTTCACTCAGCATAATGTCCTCAGGGTGCACCCACGTTGTAGCGTGCACCGACTGTTCCTCGTGGTGGCTGAGTACGTCGTATGCACACGGCACGTTTTGTTATCCATCCGTCCTTTGACAGACGTTAGGATTGCTTCTGCCACTGGACTGTGTGCAAAAATGCTGCTGTGAACATTACTTGTCTAGCTTTTTGTATGCACGTATGTTTTGATTTTTCTCGGGTATGTATACCTAGGAGTGGAACTGCTGGGTCACGTGGTGACTGGATGTTTCATTGTTTGAAGAACTGTGAGGCTGCTCACCGCAGGGGCCACGCAGCATTTCCTGTTCCTGCCGGCCGTGTGTGCGGCTTCTGGGCGCTCCAGGTCCTCCCGCTGTTCACTCAGTGACTCACTTGGGATTCTAACCACCCTGCGGGTGTGCAGCCGCGTCTCCCTGGGGTCTGATTCGCATTTTCCCCATGGCCACTGGCGCTGAGCATCTCCTCACGCGCACTTTGGCCGCTTGCGTGTCTTCTTGGGACAAGTGTCTGTTCAGACCCTTTGCCCATTTGAAAAATCGGGTTATCTTTTTATTATGAAGTTGTAAGAGTTCTTTACAAGTTCTACACGTAAGTCCCTTATCAGACAAGTGATGTGCGAATGTTTTCACCCGTCCTGTGGGTTGTCTTTTCACTTTCTTGGTGGTGCGCTTTGAAATACAAACGTTTTCAATGTTCACGAAGTTCAGGTTACTTACTTTTTTCTTTCGTTGCTTGTTATGTTTTGTTGCTTGTAAACTTTTAGTTTCATGTCAAATGATACTTCGCCAAATCCAACCAGAGTCATGAGGATTTTCTCCTGTGTTTTCTTCTGGAAGTTTTACAGTCTTTGCTCCTACTTTTAGGCGTTTGAGCCATTTTGAGTTAATGTTTATATGTGGTGGGAAATACAGGTTCAACTCCATTCTTTTGCACGTGACTCTCCAGTCGTCCCAGCACAATTTATTTTTTTAATTTTTAAAAAGATTTTATCTATTTGGCCCTGGCTGGCGTTGTTCAGTGGATTGAGCACGGGCTGCGAACCAAAGCATCGCAGGTTCGATTCCCAGTCAGGGCACATGCCTGGGTTGCAGGCCATGGCCCCCAGTAACCTCACATTGATGTTTCTCTCTCTCTGTCTTTCTCCCTCCCTTCCCTCTCTAAAAATAAACAAATAAAATCGATTTTATCTATTTGTTTTTAGAGAGAGGGGAAAGGAGGGAGAAAGGAAGACATGGATAGGTGGTTGCCTCTCACACGCCACCCCCCGTGAGGAACCCAGCCCACAACCCAGGCCTGTGCCCTGACTGGGAATCAAACTGGCAACCTTTCTGTTCACAGGCCGGCACTCTGTCCACTCAGCCACACCAGCCAGGGCTCTATTCTTTCTTAAAAATAAATTTATTGATTGATTTTCGAGAAAGAAAGAAACATATTTGTTCTTCCACTTATTTATGCATTCATGGGCTGCTTCTGGAACCCACGACGCTGGTGTATCAGGACAATGCTCTAAGTGCCCGAGCTACCCTGCCAGGGCTTGAATTTCCTTTATTTCTTTCTCCTGCCCAGTTGTTTTGGCTAAAATCTCCAGTCAACTTTTGAATGCAAGTGGCAGACATCCTTGTCTTGTTTCTGGCCGTAGGGGAAAGGAATCCAGCCTTGCACCGTTAAGTGGGGGTGCCCTTTATTAGGTTCTGGAAGTTTCCTTCTATTTAATCATGAAAGGGTTTGAATTTTGTCAGGTGCTTTTCTCTGTGTCTATCATGTACCTTGAAAAAATTCTATTGCTGTGTGTGACATCACTTGATTTTTAGATGTTGACTCAACCGTGTACTCCCGGATGAATTCCACTTGGTCACGGGGTGTGAAAGAACCCCTGTGTTGCCAGGCTTGGTCGGCTAGTGTTTTATACTCATTTAGTACGGGACTTGGTCCGTAGCTGTCTGGTGGCGTGCCTGGCTTTGGCGTCTGGGCAGCGCCTCCCAGGATGGGGCAGGCGGTGTTACGGCCCTTGTGTGGTTTTTGCAAGAGTTTGTGAATCATCGGTATTCATTCTCCTTCGGGGTTTGGTGGGACTCACTGGTGAAGCCCTCTCGCCCGGGCTTTCCTTTGTGAGTAGTTGTTTTATTACCACTTCAAGCTCTGTACTTTTTACAGGTCTAGTAGCTTATTTCTTCTTGAGGTTGTTTTGCCACTTTTTGTCCCTTTAGGGTTTGTCCATTTCATCTAAATTGTCAAATTTGTTTGGGTACAATTGTTCATTGTATTCCTTTATAATCCTTTCTATTTCTGTAATGGCCATGGGAACGGCCCCTCCTTCGTTGCTGATTTTAGTAGTTTGAGTCCTGTCTCTTTCCTTGGCCCGTCCAGCTGACGGTGTGTCAATTTGGTTGATCTTTTCAAAGAACTAGCTTTTGGTTCAATCAATTTTCTCTGTTGTTTTTCTGTTCTGTATTTTGTTAATTTTCACTCTCATATTTATTATATGATTTCCTTCCTTCTGCTTGCTGTGGGTTTAGTGTACTCTCTTCCCAGCGCCTTCATGTGGAAGGTTAGATTATTGATTTGAAATTCTTTTCTTCCTTAATATCGTCATTTACAGCTATGAATTTCCCTTTAAGCACTGCTTCAGCAATGCCCCATACGTTTTAACATGTTGCATGTTCGTTTCCATTCATCTCAAAGTATTTTCTGATTTTCCCTTTCGGTTTGTTCTTCGATCCTTTGGTTATTGAGGAGTGTGTTGTCTCCTTTCCGCGTATTGGTGAGTTTCCCGAACATCTGTTTCTGTCACTGAGTTCTGATTTCATCCCATCGTGACTGGAGGACATGCGTGGTGCGATTTCTCTCCTTTAAATTTCACCGGGGCTTCTTTGGTGGCCCAGCAGACGGTCCCCCCCGAAGAGTGCCCCGTGTGCGCTGGCGCAGAACGAGCCTTCTGCCGCCGTTAGGTGGGGTGTCCTGAGGAGGCCTGTTAGGTTCTGTCTGCGGTGGTGTTCGGGCCCTCTGTCTCCCGGTTGGTCTTCTGCCTGCTCACCCTCTCCACGAATGAGAGGGACGCACGGAAGCCTCTACCTGTTACGTTGAATCAGACATCCTTTTATTTTTAACTTTTTATTATGGAAAATGTCAAGCACCTATGAAAGAAGAGAGAATATTATGAAACACTCATTACCCAATTTCCACCTTATCAGCATTTTGCCAGTCTTGCTGAATCTGTCCTTCCTGACCTTTTCCCTTTTCTTCTGGACTGTTTTAAAGATGGTATTTATTTATTTTTTAGAGAAAGGGGAAGCGGGGGAGAAAGAAAGGGCGGGGGAAACACCGGTGTGGGAAACGTTGATCGGTTACCTCTTGCACATACCGGACCGGGGACCAAACCCGCCACCCGGGTACGTGCCTCAGCCGGGAACCACACCAGCGACCTTCCGCTCTGCGAGGAGACGCCCGGCCGACCGAGCCACGCCGGCCAGGGCTCCCGGCACCCCTGTCCTGAAGCACGTCCCAGATGGCGTACCGCCTCCACAGTCAGCGCTTCTGCACGTGACTCGGACCCATAGGGGCGTCTTTCTGCCCAGCCCCAACACCCCTGTCATACCTGACCAATTAACAGTGATTCCTCAGGACTTCCCAGTCCCCGGCCCCTGCTCCGTTGTCCCAGCAGTCCGGGCATCCTCAAGATCCCCGCGGTCTCACAGTGAGAAGGCTGATTGGAGGGGCCTTCGGAGGGGAAGGCTGTGGCTCGGGTTGGCGGGGTGGATCCTCATGAGCGTCTGCTTGGTCTGTTTCAGGAACAAATGTGGCATCTGGGGCTGGCGGTCTGAGAAGATGGAAACTGTCAGCGGCTACGAGGCCAAGGCAGGAGAGGCTGGGGCGAGGGGTTGGGGAGCGGGGAGGCAAGGCCCAGGGACTCCGCTCCTTCTCGTGTCCGCCGTGTGGGAGGAGAGACGGGGGAGCCCGTGCGCTCCGGAAGCCCCGTGCGGCCCCGGGACTCCGCGGGGCCAAGCGCCCAGCCCCTGCTGAGCACGTAGGGATCACCTACAGCATGGGTCCCCACCCAGGGTCCCGAGATGAAACTGGGGCCATTTTCCCCTCATTAGTGACCTCCCGGGGTTCAGAGCCTGCCCCCTTCTCCACTGTGGGGAGCGAGATCTCACCTGTTCCTGGGGACAGCGGGACTCGGGCCCCCCGTGCTGGTGAGGCTGAGCGTGGGGAGCAGTCTCTGAGCCCCCAGCGGCCCTGTGCCCCCCCTGCTCTCCAGGTGTACAGTGCCACCAACGTGGAGCTGGTGACACGCACACGCACGGAGCACCTCTCCGATCAGGACAAGTCGAGGAGCAAAGGTAAACTCAGGTGCGCCTGCCTGCTGCCCAGTCACACCTGCGGTGGGTCACCCGGGGCTGGGAGGGCCAGCGTATCCGGACGAGCTGGGGGTCATCCCGTTCCCGCCCGTCCCATCTCCCGCCTGACAGGAGGAAGCTCCCAGGGTGAAGGGTGGGTGGGGACAACCCGGGAGCAGTGGCTCGGAGTCCCCTGATGGGCCGCCCCCCTTCTCCTCAGGGGGGAAGACGCCGTTCCAGTCCTTCCTGGGGATGGCCCAGCAGCACTCCTCCCACAACGGGGTGAGCCGAGGCCGGGGGCGGGCCGGGGGCCGCTGGGCAGGGCCGGGCCAGGCCGGGCAGGCGCCATCCCGGGCACTAAGCCAGGTCCTGGGGCCCACCCAGGTCCCCGTGCAGCAGCCAGCCAGCCCCACCAATCCCACAGCCATTTCCCCGGATGAATACTTCGACCCCAACTTCAGCCTGGAGTCACGGAACATCGGCCGCCCCATCGAGATGTCCAGCAAAGTGCAGAGGTGAGGTCGGGGGCTAACTGGGGACTTCCCTCAAGGAGAGGGACCCCGCCTGGTCTCCCTGGTGCTAACCAGCTCCCGTCACAGACGGCCCCCTGGAGTGGGGGGCGTGCTGACTCAGCTCACTTCCCTCCAGACTCCGCTCCCTGGGGGCAGGAGCCGGGTCTGCGTTAGCTGTGGCTTGGGCCTTGGCCCAGAGCACTGGCAGCTCTCCTCTGGGGAGTAAGTGAGTGAATGAATGAACAGGTGAGCTACACCGCCCAGGTGTGGTTCTCTATGCAGTGTAAGGAGCACTTGCAGGGGGCCGGCTTGGAGCAAAGTGGAAAGGCCCACAGCCCCGCCACCTCCTGGCTGTGCGGCCCTCAAGAGCGTGGTCCGTCTCCGGTAAACGAGAAGTCACACTTGGCCACCTGCTCGCAAGGGCGCCATGAGGGTCTGAGGAGCCGGGACATAGAGCTTACAATGGCCCCGGCACCGTCCCAGGGGACTCACGTGACTCTCTCAGCCACCCAGTGCATTCGAACGCCAGCCATCCTGGCCCGTGGGCTGTGTTGGGCCCACAGGTACTGCAGAGTGGGAGGCGCCAGCCAGCTGCAGGCTGAGGAGGACGGGGCTGCGGGTGAGGCCGGACCAAAGCCGGCGGCCCAGCCTTGCCCTCACCCAGAGCCGGCACAGACCATCATGGCTCCAGCCGGAGCCCAGGGCCTGGGAGCAGCTCGGGTCACAGGGTCAGAAGGCCACGAGCTCCTGGGAGAGGCGGACGGGGGCGGCTGAGCAGAGAAGAGGGCACCCCAGACCAGGCGGAGGGCAAGAGTAAAGGCAGGTGTCTGGAGTGGGTGGGCTGTAGCAGAGAGGCCACCCGAGGCTCCTCGACCCACGTCCTGTGGTTGGCTGGGCAGATTCAAGGCGACACTGTGGCTGAGTGAGGAGCACCCGCTGTCCCTGGGTGACCAGGTGACGCCCATCATTGACCTGATGGCCATCAGCAACGCTCACTTTGCCAAGCTGCGCGACTTCATCACCCTTCGCCTCCCACCCGGCTTCCCGGTCAAGATTGGTGAGCAGCTGGTGGGCAGGCAGGGGGTCCTCGGGCAGCTCCGGGGAGTGGGGTAGCTGCGGTCGCAGGGGCCGGGCACAGGTGGGTCTGTGGCCGCAGTGGCTCAGGCGTGGCTGTCTCCTCACAGAGATTCCCCTTTTCCATGTGCTCAACGCCCGCATCACCTTCAGCAACCTGTGCGGCTGTGATGAGCCCCTGAGCTCGGTGTGGGTGCCAGCCCCCGGCTCCGCTGTCGCAGCTTCAGGTACTCCTGTGGAGGGAGGGGCCGCCTGGCGTGCCGGCATGCGAGTCCCGGGATCCGAACGTGGCCCCCTCTGCCACCCCAGGGAGCCCGTTCCCGTGTGAGGTGGACCCTGCCGTGTTCGAGGTGCCTGAGGGGTACAGTGTGCTGGGCGCAGAGCGCAGCGAGCCCCTGCGTGACGAGGACGACGACCTGCTGCAGTTCGCCATCCAGCAGAGCCTGCTTGAGGCCGGCACGGAGGCGGAGCAGGTGGGCCGCAGGCAGGGCTGGGCCCTGGGTATGGGCGGGGGGGGGGGGCAGGGGCGGCAGGGGCGACAGCTCTGGCCTCTGGCTGCCGCAGGTGACCGTCTGGGAAGCCCTGACCAACACCCGGCCTGGCACGCACCCTCCTCCCCAAGCCACGGCGGCGTATGAGGAGCAGCTGCAGCTGGAGCGGTGAGGTCCTCTGGGACCTGCTAGGTCCACGTCTCAGCCCTGCCCTCCCTCCGGGACCTGCTTGGCTGGTGGGGCGGGTAGCAGGGCGGTGCTGGTTCCCCCAGCGTCACCCACCGCCCACCACCCAAGGCGGCGTGTGGGATGGGAAGAGAGGGCCCCACCTTGTCTCCTCTCTCTGGTCTCCCAGGTCCCAGCTACCCTGTCCTTGTCCCTGTCCTTTAGAGCCATGTCCCAGCCCTGGTGCTCACCGGTCTCTCCTCCCTGTTCCATCTGGCCTGCAAGGGCCCTCCAGGAAAGCCTGCAGATGTCCACTGAGCCGGGAGGCCTGGGCTCCCCTCACAGGACGCCCCCAGCCCCGGCCCCACCGAGCTTCGAGGAGCAGCTTCGCCTGGCCCTGGAACTGTCCTCGCGGGAGCAGGAGGAGCGGGAGCGGCGAGGGCAGCAGGAGGAGGAGGACCTGCAGCGGATCCTGCGGCTCTCGCTCACGGAGCACTGAGCGCCGACCGCCCAGCCCCTGGGAGGGCTGTCGGGGCCGTCCCCCCGCCCGCTTTTGTAATTTATTTATTTATAAACTGTCTGCTACTGAGTTCGGGGGCCTGGAGCCCTGGGGGTGGGCTTGCACTGGAGATCAAGACGGAAATAAAGAGACCTGCAGCAGCAGGCTTGCTTGCTCAGTGTGGGGAAAGCCGAGGGGAGACAAGGTCCATGGCCTGGGACCTGGGTTCAAATCCTGGCTGCCACCCCCTTAAGCTTCTCTGAGCCTCAGTTTCCTCAGCTGTAAAATGAGACCACCCCCCACCCCCTCAGCCGCCTGGAGGGGAAAACGAGCCGACTCGTGTCGGGTACCCATACAGAACGGGTGCTCCATGAACGCCAGTGCGCCTGCGCCCTGCCCCACCTACCGCAGACCCGGATTCCTCCTGCTACCCAGTCTCGCTTCCCCAGAACCCACGCGTGCTCCCGTCAGGAGCGGGAGAGGCTGGGCTTCCAGACTCTGCTTGCAGCCAGAGGCCCCTGCACCACAGGCCCACTGGGTTCCTGCTCTGACTCCCGCGGGTTCTGTGGGAGTGCTCAGGGCAAGTCACTTCCGTCTGTGACCTGCTCAGCCCTGCCCTGCTCACCTCCCCAGGTGGCCCTGAGGATTCCCGTGAGCCTCAGGGGTTAGTCCTAAAGCCCTGCTGACTCCCCCTGAAGCTCTGCATGTCTCCCAGTGATTCGTGCAGACAGTGGAGGCACCCACCATCATGGAGAACTACGGTTGGGGGACCCCCCGCAACTTAAGAGCCATTCTGATCTCTCATTACCTGTGTTCCCGGCCCGGCATTCCCTAGGCCCCACCTCCGATGGGTAACAGACCTGCTGTGGCCCAAAGCACAGCCCAGGTGACCTAACTGGGAGTGGCAGGGACAGAGGTGTTTCCTGGGAGGAGGGACCGAACCTTCCGGCCTTTTCCCTGCAGGTTGCCGGGCTCCGCACCTGTGCCCCGCCCCCGGCTCCGCCCCCAAAGGGTTTGCAGGGCTGGGACGAGGCGGGCCAAACCGGAGGAGACGGGAGGGGCGGGGCGACGTCTGCTTAGTGCCGGCTCTGCTGGCCGGGCTGGACGAGCGTCTGGCCCTTTAAGGGCCGCCCCCAAGGAGGTGCCAGGCCCTGGTGGCTCCCGTCTCTCCTTCCTGGTCCTGCAGGGCAGGGACTGTCCTGTGGCTGTGGGAGGGCTCTGTGCCCAGTGCTGGCCCGGGTGTCTCCCACCTGACCCCATGGCTCTGGTCACAGTGAGCCGCTCGCCCCCGGCCAGCGGCTACTCCACGCCTGTGGGGCCCCCGGTGAGTCGGACTTTGCCGAGGTGCTGCCCACGTAGTCGGCGACCAGCTGGGCCCGGGGGAGCGCGTCCCGCCTACGGGCAGCCGCCTCTCGAGGTGGGGGTTGGGGGCGGGGAGGGGGCTTGAGGCTCCCACGAACTTCAGCCAAGGCAAGACCCTGAGTGCTGAGCGCCAGAGCAACCAGTGGAGGCCCTGCCCCTTTCTGGTCCAGAGCTGTGCCAAACCCTAGCACCCCACCCACACTGATCCCCCTGCTGCCCTACCTCGACCTGGGTCCCGGCGCCCCCAGCGCCTCTGGGGGCGAGCAGACTGGGGCGAGAAGGGTATCTGACGCCTTTTCTGCTTCACTCCCCACAGGGGTGGGCGGGGGCGGCAATTCCTCCCACCCTGCACCCCCCAACTCTGCCCTGGGGGCCACTTTCCCAGCAGGACCAGGCCTCCAAGCGCAGGAGCAGACTCCAGCGAAGGTGAGCATCTCCCTGCAACCTCCATCCGGCCGGCCCCCAGGCCTGGCCCCTGCCCTCCTGGAGAGCTTGGCTGGAAGCCAGAGCCAACTGCCAGATACGTGGGGTGATGTTGCCACTGGGCATGGCCGGCAGCCCTGGCCTGGCTGCCTTTGCTTTCAGTTTTGCTCTGGTCAGTTGGGGTTCCTTCAGCTAGACCCTGTGGTCACAAGGCCAGTTGGTCACAAGCCAAAGGTCAGGATGGGGCCATGGGGCCAGAGGACTCCTGGGTCCCCGTGCAGTTCACAGCATCTTCTGAGTTAGGTAGGTGGCAAGGGAGAGGGAGCGACACGCAGTCCCCTCAGACGAGAGGAGGTGAACTGGGGTGCTCCAGAGCCTCCAGGGCAGTGTGGGGGCCCCATCACCTGGGCCCTAGTTGGAAAGGCACCTTCTCAGGCCTCCACACTCCATACTTGCTGACCCGATGCAGGTGGGGCCCGACACCTGTTTTAATGGGCCCCCTCCAGGGGGTTCGGGTGCACCCCTACGCCCTACGGGTTTCCTACAGTGGGCCCTGAGGGTTTCCCCGCCGCCCTGCCAGGCAGAGCTTTGCAGTGCTCCACGGGGCCGTCCTGGGACTGCAGGATGGAGGGGACGGTGGAGACGCAGCCCAGCCCAGCCCCGAGCCGGAGGAGGAGGAGGAGGAAGCCTGGGGTGAGGAGCAGCTCCACGGGGACCAGACAGACAATGGGCACGAGCCCCCGAGTCCCCAGAAGCAGGAGCAGAGTCAGCATCTTCATCTCATGGTGGAGCTGCTGAGACCGCAGGATGACATCCGCCTGGTGAGGGGCCCTCCAGAGACCTCAGAGCGGGGAGAGCGCCACCTCTGGGGTGGGGGGGAGGGGTCGGAACGGAGCCAGCGCGTGTGTGTGTCTTTGGGGAGCAGCGGTGCGAGGGAAGGGAGCACCTTTGAGAGTGAGGGGCTTACCCCGACCCTGGCGACCGTGCTGGAGTTGTTTTAACAGGGTGAGGGCCTGTCTTCAGGTCTCTGAAGGGCTGGGGAAGGACCGGGACGTTTGTTCTGCCTGAGCCCCGGGGGCCCAGTTAGGCCCAGGAACCGGGGTTGCACGGGGGGCGGGTTTCTGCGCAACCCCAGCAAGACCTTCCTGTTGCCCATAAACAGACTGGAGCTCAGAGGGCCTGCTGAGCGCCCCCCAGGAGCGGGTGTGCGGGAGGGGCCGAGTGCGCTGGGACTGGGGGGGGGGCGGGGGGAGTGGGAGGACCAGTCCCCAGCTGCCTGTGGGACACCTCACTGCAGCAGAATGGGGGAAAAGGAGGCACAGTCAGTCTTTGGTGAAGCAGAGTTAATCCCACAGAAACACTTTTACTGCGAGATTGTGTTCTTAGTGTTTCTTTGGTGAGAAGCATTTCTGGAATGACATGATGGTAAGGGCAAGTGAAAGGGTTATTTTAAGCCTCCTTCCTGGGCTGAAATAAAAAGTGGGCAGTCTTTATTAGGCCTCTTCCTTTTTTCCACACACGTACGCACACACACACCCTGGAAGAAAAATCTTCTAAGACGTTTTGTTGGGCCGTGAATCCAAAAGTTGGGAACCGCTGGAATGTAACCACGGACCTGGTATCTGGGAAGGAGGGGCTGGGCACGGAGGGAGCAGGCAGCCGGCCCGTTCCGGGCCCCGCGTGTGTCGGGTGGGGGTAGGGGCGCAGGGCCCTCTGCGCCGCCGTGACCCTGGGCTTCCCTCTCCCCACCTTCCCAGGCGGTCCAGCTGGAGGCGGCACGGCCTCCCCGGCTCCGCTACCTGCTGGTAGTTTCCACAAGAGAACGCGAGAGCCAGGATGAGATGGTCCTCCTGGGAGTGGACTTCCCTGACAGCAGGTGGGAGCAGGGAGCGGAAGGGGGGCGGCGAGGAAGTGAGGTGCTGGGGGATGACGGCTTCTCCTCCGTGTCCTGCCAGCTCCCCCAGCTGCACCCTGGGCCTGGTCTTGCCTCTCTGGAGTGACACGCAGGTGTACCTAGATGGAGATGGGTAAGAGGTGGTACCTGGAGCCAGGGGAAAGGAGAGAGGAGGGGCCCGAGGGCGTGAGGTGCGTGCTGGGGGTGGGGCGCTGGGGAGCTGCTGCAGAATGCCAGGCTGGGTGTCTGGGGCCTGGGCCTGCTCTCAGCTCTACCTCAGACTTGCTGTGTGATCTTGGGCAAGTCACTTAACTTCTCTGAGTTTCAGCCACCCCGTATCTGGCCAAAGGGCTTATTTGGGAGCTCAAAGGATGTGCACATATTCTGAGGGCCGGCCTCGTGGGGTGTCTAGAGGGTGGGCCTCTTGAGGGCTCTGTCCCAGGGCCCAGAGTGGGGTCCCACCCCTGCCTGGTCTCCCTCAGGGGCTTCAGTGTGACGTCTGGTGGGCAGAGCCGAATCTTCAAGCCGATCTCCATCCGGACCATGTGGTGAGCGCCGGGGCAGGCCAGCCTCGAGCCGGCCTCTCCTCAGAGGCGGTGGCAGGGTCTGGGTAGGAGCCACGGGGAGGGCGGCGCGGCCCAGCCTCTCCTCTGCCCCAGGGCCGCGCTCCAGGCACTGCACCAGGCGTGTGAGGCGGCTCTAGGCAGCGGTCTGGTGCCAGGGGGCAGTGCCCTCACCTGGGCCAGCCACTACCAGGACAGACTGAGCTCCGACCAGACCTGTCTCAACGAGTGGACGACCATGGCCGACCTGGAGTCTCTGAGGCCTCCCAGCACTGAGCCTGGCCGGTCAGTGGAGGGAGGGGAGGAAGAGGGGGTGCCGTGGCCGGGCAGGGAAGGGGCCCCTGGACTGACGAGCGTGGCTCCCAGGTCCTCGGAACAGGAGCAGATGGAGCAGGCGATCCGGGCTGAGCTGTGGAAGGTGCTGGACACCAGTGACCTGGAGAGCATCACCTCCAAAGAGGTAGGCGGGGGGCCAGGGCCGGGGCCCTCCAGCGGGGGGCCAGAGTCTTCCCGTCTGGGGAGCCCTCCCACCCAGCTTTCCTCCTGTGCGAGCCGGTGCCAGATGCTTGGCCTCAGCTCCCGGTCTCCATGGGACGGCTGCTGTCCTCGGAAGCCCTGGCAGGATGGGCGAGGCGTCGGGAACCTCTCGTCCCCTTCCTGTCTGCAGATCCGCCAGGCCCTGGAGCTCCGCCTGGGATGCCCTCTCCAGCAGTACCGCGACTTCATCGATAACCAGATGCTGCTGCTCATGGCCCAGCAGGACCGGGCCTCCCGCATCTTCCCCCACCTCTACCTGGTGAGCTGCAGGGCGAGGGGTGGGAGGTAAGGGCCACGCGGTCGGGGCGCAGGGAGACCGGCCCTCTCCCTGTCCACAGGGCTCGGAGTGGAATGCGGCGAATCTGGAGGAGCTGCAGAGAAACAGGTAGGGTCCTGAGCCCCCTCGGGGCTGCCCACCCTCTGTCATTCCCCATGCTTGGCCACCCCTCGAGGGGCCACCTGGTCAGAAGCCCCCAGGCTCCCTTCAGCAGCTGCCAACTCAGCCTCCAACTCCGGTCCTGGGGCCCTTCCTCCCCTGGGCGCGGACCTGGACCAGGCCGGAGCAGCCACCGTGCTGGCCTGCCGGCAGCTCCCTGGCCCGCCCCTCCCTCCCCACGCCGTGGAGGGCGGATGGAAGCTCCCCTCTCCGGGGACCCCTGGCCTCCCGCTCCCTGTCATGCGCTCCTGTCATTCGTCCACCGTCCACCGTGGGCTGCTGGGACACCCCGCTGCTGCAGACCCGCCCAGCCTCAGCTGCGCTCACGAGTTGTTCTCGGGCTGGCTTCCGAGACCAACGGCAGGCTCAGTGTTGCTGGCCAGCCTGGCAGCCGCCTGGACTAGCGGGAAAACGAGCCCGCCAGGTGAAGCGGTCGGCTCGGGGTCCGAGTCCCCTGCTCCCGCCAGCCCTGTGCCGCCCCCCACCAGACTCAGGACCAAGAACACACAGGTCGGCCGGTCCGCCGGCCAGTGGGCCGGGGGCACCTGCCACGTCAGCCTGGCCTCGCGCCCCCCGCTGCAGGGTCAGCCACATCCTGAACATGGCCCGGGAGATCGACAACTTCTACCCCGAGCGTTTCACCTACCACAACGTG